TATTCATACTATCCACCAATACTAAGCTTTTTGAAATGAGTAGAATTTGCTGATGCTTTGTTGACAGATATTTGTATTACCTGTTTCGATGCTTTAGATTCAACACAGCTAGTACAAATATGGCTCGCAATTTATCGAGCAGAAAATCAATACCAACAGAACAGTTTTTATTTTTAGTCTGGAAAATTCATTGGCAACATTGCGGTGAATGTCAGACTGATTTTATTGACTGGATTGTTGATTGGCCTCCTGATTGATTGAATGATTGATTGATTGATTAATCCTGTCATTGGTTGATTGGTTATTTGTTGTTCCAGGTTCATCTTTTGAAATTGAGATTCTTTAACAGTTGAATCCTTTTATTTTAAAAATTCGATGATGATAAAGGATAATATGGAATTACCATTCAGGTGCTACAAGTGCCTTGATGTGTAATTCAAAAAGTAAAATTTTACCTATAAATAGGCAATGGACATAAAAAAACATGAATACTAAACCCATCAGAACTTAATAAGCTAATTGTAATCGCTCCTCTGTATCCAGTTCGGTGTTCTTTACGACCTGAAATTTATATCGGCTATTCAGCGGTTTTTGATTGATCAGGCTTGTTATAATAAAGTATGTTATAAAGTGTAGGCTCTGGATTTTGCCACTTAAGTATCATCATTGCAAATTTCAAAAGACATGCATTGTAAATTGGTGATCAAATTATGATAATGTGATATGTACCGTGAATTTGGAAGCCATTTTAAAGTGTATTTACTAGTTTTCTAGAAACGTTTCAGAAACTTCGACCTGTGTTTACTAATTTAATACACATTAATACCAAATCAGTTATTCAATTAGTGTGAACTTACTATGTGAATCTAAAATTGTAGCTTTTTCATTTCTGACTTTTTTTTTTTCTACTAATCTGTGTTGTTCTGGTGTTTATTGTTTGACAACTCGTTAAAAGATTATCTTTTTGTAATGTTAAAAACATTTCAATATTTTATTTGCTTTTTTTGGATTTGTATTAAAATGGGTTCAATTGAAAATTAGAATAAGAACTTATTTAACAATTCAATCATTCCATTTATATGGTGTGATTCTAACAGTTTCATAAATAATATTTCTATTTTTTCATTAGTAAAAAATGTCTATAAAATCTTTTGATTGTTTTATGTTGTGCATCTTTTTTATTCTTCCAATTTATAACAATTACATAAATAATATTTCTATATTTTTTCATTAGTAAGAAATGTCTAAAATCTTCAGATTGTTTTATGTGCAACTTCTTTATTCTTCCGATGTTTGTTGTAAATGTACAAGAATTGAAAGTACCTCATATATTATAGAGAAAAAATAAGTAAAATAATAGATGAATTATAATATAAATGTATAATAAATAAATATTTAATATACACAAATCCATCTTATGCCAGTTCATTTTTGTATGTATTGCTGAAATTAGTAAAATCAAATGAATTGAAAGAGTAATTCCATCATCACCTTTGTCTGGAATACAGTACAGGTATCATTTAATCTGAAATGTTGTTTGCCATATGTTGGCATATCAAAAACCACACCTGACTAGACCATGCTCACCTTATCTAACCTTGAAGGGCGTGTTTACATCATATCATCGATTGATCATCCTCTCATTTTCATAGGCATTAGTTGATTTAAATGAAGATTATATAGTATATAATAAATTATACAGTTTAAGGTCTATGGTAATTTGGGAGCATAATAATATAAATAATTAGTAATTCATTTGACATAATATTTTTATAGCAGGAGAGGATTATTAATTGAATAAATCACTTATAAATTAATCTGTAATTAATCTATTAATTTTATGAAATCTTTAATTTAATCTATATCATAACATCAAGATTTTGTATTTCTCTATATAAATAACCATGTTGATTATAGCTTTTCTACATAAATTTTACAAACTTGTGATGTACTTTTTAACTTTCGTATGTTATATTTTGATTCCTCTCTAAGCTACAGTAATATTATTTAAAGAATTCAATTTCTAGGTCTGTTCAAATCAGATTGAAGAATGACTGATCTGAAGCTTTGTTTTGAATTGATTCAGTGTGGTTTCGAATTGAGTATACTGGAAATTTAAACATTAGATGTTGATTGTGTTACATTTCTTACCACTTTCATGCTCTTTTAACAATAGAATTGTAACCTAAGAAAATATCACCATTCTCAACTAATCATGCCTGCAGTATTTTAAACTAGCCAAACATCGCCCACAATGAACTAGTAATAGATTACACGACAGTCTGTAAATTTGGTGGAAATTGCCAATCAACAGGTTATTTTTGAGGCAGTATTTGGCATGTATGTGCACGTGAATAATATGCACGCCCAAAGATTATTGCTCTGTGGTTGGTCAACATTCGCTGCCCAGTTCTCAAAATTTCTTAGCTATCTAAAGGAAAGGACAACAGTCTAAGATAATTAAGTTCATTGTTATATGTACCTTACTAATTTATTTATTTTTATTTACATGATAAAAAATTAGGGATACAAGTTCTAGGGTTCTGATAATCTTGTTAATAATTTTTTTTTAATTGACTGAAACACAAATACAGTGCGACACATATTTTTTTGGCGATAAAGCCAATGCTTATATTAAATTTATATTTACCATTCATTGTATGTAGATTTCCTCCAAATTGCATATTCAATTAATATTTTTTAATAAATGTGTGACCCACTCTCATGATTCTTCTGTACACATACAATACACATATTAACTTAAAAATAATGCTATGCTGACAGTTTTAGTTAATAATGTAAAATATGAGCTAATAATAATAATCACCACATTAATGTTCAGAATGCATAAAACCACAAATAATAACTCTGACTCTGGCATTGAATTTTTACCTTTAGGGAAAAATACGGCTTTGATAATGACGCATATTTTTTTCTTGCTATATCTACTGTGCAATATGCCCATGTTTTTGGTCATTCAGACTTTCAATGCTTATGAATTGCCCTTAGTAGAAGAATATCCTTTTATTGACTGCAAGTTATTCTTGTGCCTTCCTGTTATTTTACCTTTTTGATAGCCTAATACTTTTTAATTTGAATTGTTAACCATAAGGATATCTGTTTCTAAGTTGAACATGTTTCAGAGAAATGTAATGAATAATGCAACTTAAGATTGAATTCTGCCCTCTATCATCTAAGGTTTCAGGAAGAAGCAGGCTCGTATTGACATGCCATTATATCCTACGTGTGGCAGTTTATTTGTTTAAAAAGATTAACTTATGATTGTTAATTTGTCATATGCGAGATGAATTCCCTGATAAATGTGGTTTTTTTAGGACACCAAATTTAGGGTTACCTTTTTTTAGAACTGACTCTCTAATTTGGTCCACCCAAGCTAGGGATATATTGTTGGCAATTTCCATCTAATGATATATTCATCTCTTTGATAAACAGTCTTGAGATACCTAATGCAGCTTCCCTTAGAGGCCTAAAGGTCTGCGAGTACCTAGTGGTAGAATTTCCCCAGGATTCCCCCTCCCCTAGGCAGCCATATATCACATCTCCTTTATCCTCATAACTTATCACAATTCTCAGTCATTGCTAGTTAGTTATTCTTCATAGGTAACTTGTCACAATCATCGAAGTACTTGCTGCTTAATTGCGATTGTCTTAGTCACGACGTGTACCCATAGCCCCATCCATCACATGCCATGTCCTTTAGCCCTTTATTGGAGTATTAATCCGTTATTTTGACATCTCCTTTTCATTTTTTCCCCATAATATACATTGCTTTTTATCCAAGTCCTAATTGTATCATTTGATTTATACACATCAACATATGATTTATACAGTACAGCGTATTGTGTGAATAATTTTTCACCCATGTTTTTTTTCGTGTAGAATTCACGCGGTTTTCTGCATCATAATGATGGAAAACATTTATCAAGTACATTTGGGGATAGCTTTTACCATAGTGTTTTTGTCATGCTGTCCATACATTAAGCAACCTATGTGACTATGACAAAGTTGATCTTATTGTTTGTATTCTCTTATAATTTGTTATCAAATTAAGTGTTTAAATTAATTTTGAATGAACATGACGTACACTTTTAAGACAAATTTATTGTAAAAAGTAGCTGTTTATTTCCCAGAGAAGAAGCAGAAAAAAAATGGTGCGTTGGACAATTGTTTTTCTTCTAGCATCTAGATGTTATATTTTTTAAAAATGGAAACTAATCTTTGCACGTCACATAAACGTTATTTCATGAACATTTTAGTCATTTTTTGTGTATGCTGATTATAGGTGGTACTAATACATTATAGAAATACTTTGACGTTGATTTTAAAACATTTTGTTGAATTAATTAAATCTTGTTCAGCAAATTGCTCATATTCCTTTAATTTTAAAAAGTGGCAGTGGGTGGGAAGTACGATAAATGTGGGAGAGGTGGGCATTTACGCAGAGCTTAAGGGCCCTAGAATCGGTTGTTTGTATGCCGTGACGTCATGATTTTGATCACCCGTTATCTGCTTTTTTTCTGGCTGTCACTTATCATAGAGTGATTGAGCGTGAAAACAATATATTTAGGTCGTTGGCCTCATTTTTGTTTGCCAGGAATTGAATCCCGTCAGACTACCGGCAGCTTCTTCATAAATACATCAACCTATTTTTTTTTAAATTATGATTTGCCATTAATTCCATGCACAGTTAAAAAAAACAAAAAAAAACCTGTGGTGTTGGATTTCATATTTTGTATTCATTACTGTGCTTCGTGATGAGAAGACAGCAATTTCAGCTGAACTTGAAGCATCTCCTGGGCCAGTGTTCTTGGCTTTAAGACATCTGGTTCCAGGGCCTTGCCAACATTAATCAAGCTGTAATGAGGATTTTTGAGTTTTTATTTTATCAAAACAAAAAGAAACAACTTGTGGTATAATATGATGTGATAGAATTACAATTTGACAAATCCAACAAATGTTTATAATCTGTATTTATATAGGAAATGGCCTGGAAGGTAGATATCACAGACATAACAATGGCAAGTCTTCAGTTTTGATATTTTCATCAACCGTGACACAAGCGCTTATGTACTTCTTTCCATGTACCATGTATGACTGTTCCTTTTTTTTTATAACCTTGTCAATCTTCAGAAATGGAAAATTGAACACGGGATCCATATTGAGTGCGAATAAAATCGAAATATTTCCGCATTATTGATAAATGAATAGAAGCGCTTGATCAAAATTATTAATTGCGATAACATTATTCATTTCCCTAATATTTTATCGATTAATTGACGCAAAGGCGCAGAAACCTTCAAGGTTAGAGGCACATTTCTCAATAATAATTATATAAAATTGCACTATGGCTAATAAAGCGTTAAAAAAATCCATGTTTCTCGTCCTCTGAATTCATCATTTCGTTATTTCCTTTATTTTGTCAAATTCATAATAACGAGAAAACGTAAAGTACGAGTATTGTAAGTAACTAAAATAAGAATAGCATTTTTGGAACTCGTATTCGATTTATAACTAATAAAGTGTTTAAATTTCTGGTCTGCCTGGCTGAAATCCAAAGGTACTCGTAAGAAATATGCATCACATGCTCTAGAGTGTAGACCAAAGACTATGTTTTTGTGTGTTGGCATATGTGCGTGACCATCGTTGCAAAGGAAAAGCGCGCTTTTTCATGCAAGACGAGGAACATGGTTTTTTTAAATTTTAATTTGGACTAAAATATTCTGGAAGAAGGGGCTGTTGATTCCTACCTTGATATATGTTAATGCCTGTCGATATGTTTTTTTTGATATTTTTTCTGTTTTTTCTTTTCCCGTAGATCTTTTTAATATATTTGTGGGCGACTTGGATCAAGATATAACAACCGATGAATTACGATCTGCTTTCAATCAGCATGGGAACGTTGTGTAAGTATCTTTATTAACTTTATTTTTTTTATCTTATTTTTTATTATTTTGAAAAGCATGAGAAAAATTACTTTTTGAAAGCTTGTTATCTTCTGCTACTTTCGATTTTTCATTATTGCTTGCTCCACTTGTGTGTTGTTCTTAGTATTTTATGATCTTATCTAATTGATAACATAAGTTAGGCATATATTTATTGATATTAAATTCATACATATTCTTTATCAATTTTTGGTATTGTTTACCCAGTGTTGTAATACATAGCTTAAAAGATAAACATATCTTCTATGTGGCATTATATTTACCTGTCGCATATTTATCAGCTCTGGTATTTGAAACCTGACAATTAGATACAGAGTTAATATCCCATCTTAACCCTGTCAATCATAAATTAATTTTAGTTAAGATTTAAATTACATGTACACAATGTTATGTGATTTAATTCTGCTTATAATAAATTGAACATAAAATTTTAATTTAAAAAAACCCTATGGATTCAAATCCAAGGAATTTTAATTCATTATTTATAAACTAGATATTTTTTTTTTTACATTAACATATGTAAAAAAAAATTTGAACTTCTGTGTCCCGGCTTTACTGGCCTCTCCTAGACATGTGATATTATTCACAAGGAACCTTGATTGGTGAATTTAAATGCTTCACACTCAGCGTTCCTTGTTATACAAGTTTGCTGAAATGTTGTGTTCGTATTGGGTACAAGTGTTTGGAATACATGATAGTGCATGCTGTAATTGCTGCAAAGCAGCCAATTCATATTCTTGACAGCAATTTGACCTCTGAAAGGTCATTGTTTGTCAAAAAACAAGGGCCTAAGACAACTGAAAAGCGGAGTTTCCTTCTTTCGTTCTGCCGGGTAA